TCTTGTGATCTGCTGAGCCATGGAGCATCCAGTGCTCACCCAGACACAGGGCAAAAGCTTTGGGGCAGGCAAGTCCTGGGGTTTCATCTGTCCCTGAGCTGCAGCCATGGCCCAGCCAATGCCTGAGCACCTGTCCAGCAGGGAGTAGAGTCACCAGGAGACAAAAGAAAGCTGCTCCTCCTCCCCGTCACGCTCCTGGGGTGAGAGAAGGAGGTTCACATCCCTTCAGGCGGTGAGGGGACTGAACACAGATCTCCCACATCCTGGGTCAGTGCCCTAATTACTGGGTTAGTGGATAAAAGGGGAATGACAGCAGCTGTGGTGCATCTAAGCTCTTGTTTCCTTTGTGATTTTTTTTTCGTATTGCAAGTGCCCCAAATGCAACATTTTGGCTGATACAAAACACCTTCCTTGATACAAAATTTACAGAGGTTGTCTTATTTCAGCAACAAAAACTGGCAATTATTATTTCAGATTGATCTGAATGTGGATTTTCTTTTGCTTATTCTAGTTTCATTCAGTTTCTCTACAGGAGAATCAATTATTTGCACAGAGCTATTTGTAAATGTTAAAAACCACAGGATGGGCTTTGTCAGATGACAGTGGCCTACAAAACCTCAGCCCAGCCTGGTGGGCTCTGTCCTCCCTTGGGAGGCTTTATGGCTGAGGCTGTCAGATAGGCTCATCCCTGAGAACAGGAGGGGCTGGACAGAGGCACCTCAACACTACTGAAATACTGAATGCTATGGAATATATATGTATATGTACAATGATTCAGGAGGACTTTAGTAAAAATGTGGAAATCTATGTTCCTTGTATGTCTTATGCCTTTCTGATCCCATACTGAGCACTTCTGGAGGTGTGGTTAGGAACCAGCCAGAACAGACAAGGACTTGATAAAAGTTTTCCAGTGGCTAATTTTGGCAAGTGCTTGCAGGGGGATCAGAGCTCAGGTGGTGAAGAGCTGAACGCAGCCATAAAGTCTCTGCTATGGAAGGGGACTGTGGGCAGCTTCCCTACTCTTTTAAGTGTTCAGAACTCTATTTCATTTATGTTACTTATTTGCTGATTAGGAGTGGCTTGTCACAGCCAACATTGTTGTCAGAAGCAAATGTACATGGTTACTTTTATTACTCCTTTCTTTGTGCCATTGTGGATTTCAATATGTCTGCAAAATTTATTTTATAAATGACATAAATGTGCTCGGAACATTACAGCAGGGAAAATATGACAACAGTAATACTACAGAGCATAATCCCTGCCTCAGGAGCTTGCTGTCCAAGGGCCTGAACGTGTTCTTTGTGCTTAGGAAGTGAGCAGAGTGTAGGTGTTAGCTCCACTTGGCTTAACACAAGATTTGGGGGTAAAATAAATGGGCAGGAAGAGGAGCTGAGAACTGACCTGAGACTCTCCAGAGATGACAATCAGATTTGAGCATCACCCTGAGCTACTGATGCTCTGAAACACTCCCCTGTGAGGGAGGTAGGAAGGGTTTCCATTCCTTGTTCTCATTAATGGGAAATGTGCTGTGGTTTTGTTTGGGGGAAAAGACAAAACAGAAACCTGTGAGAGTTTACATTTCATTTAATTCAAAATGATCATTAAAAAGGCAAAAACCCAGAGGGTAGTCTGTAATTTGCACAGCTGTGCTTAATGCTTCTCAGGTGCAGCAGGCTCACCCCCTCAGGACCAGGCCTTGAGGGGGCACTGTGAAGAGGGATGCTGGAGAGGACCATATGGAAACTGAACACGAAATAAAAGCTTGAGTGGAGGTGGGTGGATTCAGGAGCTGGAGGAGAGGGAGCCTAGGCTGTGCAGTGCAATGTACATAGGAAATGAACGTATGCAGAAACTGAAATGTGTTCAGCTGCGGTCATGCTCGAATAATCCATGCAGGCACTCCCCCGACATGTGTGCATGGTACAACGCCATGCCATGCTGGCTGCCAGAGGTACGGGCAGGACATGTCTGCCTGCAGTGGACAAAGCAATGGGGAGAGGGGCGCAAAGTATGCACACAGAGAAGCCACACAGCAAAAAGCTACAAAAGGTGAAAATACATAGAGGAAGGGCTGGTTTTTTGTTTTGTTTTGTTTTGTTTTGTTTTTTTTTGTTTGTTTGTTTTTTGATAAAATGGACTGGTTGTTCATAATTAATCTAAATACTTACTCTAAGGCCACTTGAGTTTTTTGCCAGGATCACAAAGCTCTTCCAATCTCCACTGGTATGGGATCTTGCATTGAGTGAGTGCTGGCATCTGCAAGGCTATCTCAGCTTTTTCCTCCCATGCCTTATAGGAAGATTCATTAATCTGGAAGGTGCTGAGTTCTGGAAATCTCCAGGCCCCACTCAAGGGCTCTGGGGCTCATTGAAACATCCCCAGCAGGTAGCGGTGTCACATGGGATGCCAGCATCTGTCTGATCCTCGTTCCATTTAGACTTTCCAGCATGTGCTGGTGAGCGTCCCGATGACTTTGTGCTCTGCTAAGTACTGCTGTGATCTGAGCTTGGTTAGCTGCAAGGGACATCTGTGGCTGCTGTTTTACCCAGATGGAACGATCTGTGTGGGAAAGACAGGCCTCCTCTCTGGGATGGGGTTCCCTGGGGCCAAAAGTAACTTGGCAAGCTTCCTTGTCCCCTGGAGTTAAACATTTTTTGAGAAGGATGCCATACTGGTTCCTTTTCCTAGCTGAACTTAAATACAGTGATCCTTATATCAAATAGCTGTTACAATCCCACAGATCTTTAAGTGTTGATCTCTATCAGATTTTTATTAGCAGAACTTATTACCACCTAACTTCCTTCTAAACCTATGCATTATTTGTTATGGCACGGGAGCAGGGTGCACGCAGCTCAGGCACTGTGGGCTTGTTCAAGTCTTTGGCTTTGCTGGAGGCAGGAGCAGCACCATGTCCCCTGGCAGCCTTCCTGCTCTTGCATTCCCTGCTCTCTGCAGTTGGGCAGGTGGGTGAGGGCTGCTGTGCCATGTGCCCACACGGTTGTTCTTCCATGGCAGGTGTTGGAAGTCTGAAGGGGCTGTCACAGTCTGCTCGCTGGAAAGGGCAGCCAGTGTCCCCAGCACACCTGGACCATGGTTCCTCGGCCTTGACGCAGACACCGAGTGGTCCCTGTTTGTTAGGGGGAAAAACTGAGAAAGGCCACTTTGTTTGCTTTTGGGCACTATTTTTTTTGGTGAGCAAATTGTCAGGATAGGCAGCATGTCTTTGATACTTTCTATCAGAGTCAGAAACAGCTGATGACATTATACTGGGCATTCATTTTAGATCTGCTGAGCCCACAGAAATCAATAGTTTTCCATTATCGGGTCTGGCTGGGTCACTGGTCTGTCAATGAGCTGTTACAGTTGCTGTACAAGGGTGAACCTGACCAGTCAATTGCTGCTGACAAGAGGAAAACACGCTGACAGCCACGAGAACAAGTCAGAACACAGATTTGCACTTCGGTTCACCATCCGAGGAGACTCAGAAGGGGCCACTTCCAAGATGTAGGGCACATGCAGTTGGAGAAGGGGCCGCCTCTTTTCCAGGGAAACAACATTTTTTTCTGTAGCCCCAAATGTCAGAGAGCTTGCAAACTGGAGAAGAAGGAACCAATCCCTTGGCACAGTGTGTTTCAAGCCAAAAAAGGACATGCTAACAGGACCACCACTACTGCCATGTCCAGTGGGGCCTTCCTGAGGTGGCCATGGCTAGGGAAGGCCAGGCCCTGGGCTGCTGCAGGCACAGGGCACAGCCAGGTTGTGGGCACACATGTAACCATGGGCCTCATGCTCCCTCTTGCCTGCCTGTGTTTCAACACTGACTTCCTATCAAACTTGAGTGCTGAGCAAAAAATAAATATTTAGAAATTATCCCAATATTATGATTTTTAATTTTCAACTTTATTAACTTCTTTCAAGTGTTAAATCCTGGCCGTTTTATTTACGCCTCGAGTCTTCTGTTTGATTCTCGCAGATGTCTATATTCACTTGTGTTCCATCATCAAACAAAAACCTGGTAATCAACTTTATCACTGGAAGCCAACTAACTGGCTTTTAAAAAACACACTACCCAAAAGAAAGATTATTTTCTTTAAATGAGAGAAGAGGGAAGTATTTTTACCAGAGAAGGGCAAACCTTGCTTTGCTGGTAATTAGAAGCACCAGTCTTACATGACTTGCAGCACTTAGTAGCTCAAAATGCGTCAGATCTCTTACAGCATTAATTAAAAAGATTTTTTTTTAATAAAATGCTTCATGTTTTAGCCCTTTTATTCCTCCCACCGAATGTGATTATGTGGGCTGAAGGGAATTCAGGTTAATATGTTGACACACTTAACAATGTGGGGTCATGTTGCACAATACGCCTGACTGCTTTGGTTCAGCACAGCCCCTGACAGGTCCTAATCAACCCCTGCCCTAAAGGCAGAGGCAAGGAGAGGGTTTTAATTACTGCTCTATACACGGGTTTGCCAGCATTAAATTGAGACGTAATTAGGCCGCCGCATTTTAATAATTGTCCTAGCTAATTGGGCAGACAAGTACGCTCCACAGTGTGGCGTGATTAGATAATTAGTATTTCCAAATGACAAAATTGGGGTCTCGATTAAGGATTCGGCGAGCGGGGCGGGACCATCCCATCCCATCTTATCTCTTCCCGTCCCGTCCGATCCATCCATCCCTCCCCGGCCCGCCGGGCCCCGGCCCCGACATGGCAGAGGCGGGCGCAGTTCCCACCATGGCCGTCAGGGGGCGCCGCTCACGCGCGGCCGCTGCCCGCTGCCCGCTCCCCGCCCCGGCCGGTCCCGCTCCCGGGCAAGCCGCTGCCGGCAGGACGGTGGCATGCAAACGCCTCGCTAGCAAGCTGCAAAATCGCCTTTATTTTATTTTATTTTATTTTATTTTATTTTATTTTATTTTATTTTATTTTATTTTATTTTATTTTATTTTATTTTATTTTATTTTATTTTATTTTATTTTATTTTATTTTATTTTATCTGCAGAAGAGGAAACAGTTTTACTTCTTGTTTTGTGTTTTTGTGCGTGTGATCCTGCTGTCACCGAGATACAGATGCTCCGGCTGAAATCAACAGCGATGATTTCCCTACAGCCTGAGGGCTTCTCGGCTTTAAAAGTCTAGTTAGTGGTTTTGTTTTGTTTTTGTTTGTTTGTTTGTTTTTGTTTTGTTTTGCTTTGCTTTGTTTTGTTTTTTCCCCCGCTGTATCAAGACTCTAACTCCTGACTGTTTGACGACTCAATGCCAGGCGGGCGGCGCAGTGTCTATGTCCTCATTTCGGGATACGCCGACTCGCACACCTTGGGTGGCTCCAAGCCGCGGCGCCGGCACTGCCAGCCGCTGTTTACCAGCCCTGCCGTCGGGGAGAGCTAAGAGCAGCGAGGTGCAGCCTGCGGAACAGCTGCTACAGCCCTTGCGGCCCGCAGTTCGGGTGGCACGAAATGAGGCACCCCAAATACAGGAGGCTGATCTGCCAGCCTGTGGCCAAAGCAGAATTCGGGATGTCCTGGGAAGTAAGGGCGCTGGGCCGCAGTGGCAAAGCATCCCTCCGCCCGGCCGGGCGCCCCTCGCCTTTTAAAAATCTCTTTTTTTGACGCTGACAGACACTCGGGGCAACTGCTTTTCAGTAGCCGGCTTCTTTCCGAGCAGCCTCCGCGCCCGGAGTGCTCGGTCAGGCTCCATTTTATCACGCCCCCCGCCGGCGTGCAGGGGGCTACGGCAGGAACGTGCAGGCTGGTGGTGCTCGTCTGAAGGTGACATCCAGCGCCAAGTCTGCGGTTAATCGAGTCCGCTTGGTGAAGTTCAACAATTTAATCAGTGTCTGCACGAGCCCCGGTGTTATTTATCTGTGCTGCGTTAGGTTCCCTTGGGCTGTAAAGCGATCTCCAGAGGTTAGATGGGGGGAACCTAACACCACAGGAGCAGTCGCTGCCCTGATCCTACAAGAAAGCCGCTTCAGTCGGTCTCACCGGAGAAGCAGCAGTCGATACTGCGGTGAGGGCTGGGCAGGACCAAAGCCACAGCGTGGCTCTCCTAAGGCCACTGTCGCTATTTACCAGCAAGTCACAACTTGGACGTGCCATTAGTTAGCAATCCTTGCCAGCGATGCTTTTTTCTGCCTGGTTAGAAGGCTGGGGTTTTTCCTGTAGGCACACTCTTAAGACCATCTTAGTGCTTGTGCAGAGCTTTTGTGGTGGGGGGTCTCAGCAGGGTGGAAGCTGAAGGCCACCCAAACATGGCACAGAATGCAGGTGTGTGAGTTGTGCCCTGATTCTGGCAGGAGATGCACTGTGTCGTCCCAGGTATTTTTTTGGCTAAGATGCTCCTGTCTTTGGACCTAGTGGTGTTAGAAAATCTAGTTGGTACAACCATTCTGATCGGTAAAAGTACAGAAAATGCTGTCCCCTTCCTGGCTCTCTCCTCCTGTATTCTTAGTCAAGCCCAGGCTGCATTCGTGGCTGCTCAGCTCACACTGAGGAAGCTTCCTTGTCTGCAGACCTCCCCTCGGGTGTCAGTTCTGATGGTCCAGGCTGGGACGGACAAATGTAGCTGAAGAAATTAATTTACTTTGTAAGTAATTTTTTTTTGTATGTAAGTTTTTTTTTTTTTTTCCTGTGTATCAATACTATATTTTTTTCCTGATGAAAATTTTGTAAAAACTGAATAATTAGATCTATAAAATAAGCTATATCTTTATTTACAGCTCTGTAATTGAAACAGTTCAGCTTAGTAACGTTAAGACAGCACGATCCCCTTCCTGAGTACACTGTTGTAGGAGCAGGAGAGCCTTTGAAACTGGCACTGGGTTTTCATTCGCACTCTGCGTAGCGCTGTCTTGCTTTTCTTCTGCTCCGAAAGGTGACAGTGAAGCGCTGCGATCAGGTTCGCCCCTTCCCATCTCTGCCGGAGGAGGAAGAAGAGGAAGAGGAGAGCCCCGGAGCCGCCGTGGGCAGGGCGAGGGGCGCCGACAAAAGAGAGCCCCCGAGCGAGAGCCGCGGGCTCTGCCGGCGAGTTTGGACGCATTTTAAGTCTGAGGAATAAGTGACAGGGTCATCATTTCCCCGGCTCGGCTGCTTTCAGATTCGGCTACGAGGGTGAAGTCTTGCTAACAGCTCGTGTATCTGTATATTTAATTGCGACCTGGCTGCATGTTCCTGTTGAGGAAGGATGCAGATGACAAGTGAGTTATAAAAAAACAAAAAAAAAAACAAAAAAAAAACAGAGTCAGTTGACAAAAACAGGAAAGGAATGACAGATGAAAAGGCAGTCGATGAGGAGCTAACTGGCAAACGCATCAGTAAAGTCATATACCTTCTGAGAGGAGTAGCAGTTTGTTTTATTCCGGTTCTCCAGAGTTTTATCTCCTGTCGGTGTGAAGGGGGAGAGAGGAGCTAATGTGCCCTGTTTAGGATACAAACATGCAGATTAGATCAGACTTCAGACACCCCGTTTCACTCAAAATTTAAAACAGTTAGAGGCATAAAGCAGAATTCCGCCACCGAGGAAAACAGAAGTACACTTTTTTATCTTTATTATTATTACTGTTATTATTTGTAATGTTTTAAAGTCGTTTCCAAGCTGTTCGAACGCATTCAGCGAGCGAGGTCCCGGGGGTGTTGCGGGTGCGCGGCCGCCGCTGCCCGAGCCGGGAGAGCAGCAGCCCGACCCCGTCTTCTCCACTTTTGTGTTACTTTAAGTTTTCAGTGAGGCTGGTGTAATTACTGGGCGTTTAACTTTTTGCCAGGCTCTTTCATTATAGCTTTGCATTTGCACCTCGCTTTTAAGAGAAGTAATAACATTCACAGTCGGGGGCAAATCCTGTTAATGAACAAATTAAAGTTCAAACAGTTATTCAAGTTCACAGCCCCGCTCGCTGCTCATTTAATAAGAGTTATGCATGTTACTTTCTCTCAAGATCACTCCCCCTTTTATTACTTTTTAAGCTTTTCATAAGCACTGACGGGATGTAGGGGCAGCTCCCAGCCTCTGAAGAGCCCACAAATCCTGAAGGGAGCCCTAATCCGGCCTTAATTTGACAACTTTTGTAAAACGCATAAAAGCTCGGGTGCCACCCTTGTGCGCTCCAATGACTGCATCGCGGGGAGCCCGGGGGAAACTCCCCTTTTTGCTGCACCCACGCAGTCTGCCGGTCCTCCCGGGGCCGGAAGGGGTATTAGGGTGCCTGAGCCCCCCGGGGGCTGTCCCGGCTCCGGTGCCTGCCAGCAGGCGCGGCAGAGCGGTCCCATGCGCTCTCTCCCTCCTTCTCCCCCGCGCCGCTTTCCTCCTTCCCTCCGACCCTTTCGCGGCTGCAGTGCGCGCTCACCTCGCTGTTTGCATGTCATGAATCTTAATTCCCCGCGGAGGGGGCTTCCCAGCCCCGGGGAGCGGCGGGGCCCGGGGACGGCGACGGGGTCCGGCCATCCGCGGGGTTTGACGCCGGTTCAAGGCAGCGCCGGTGCCAAAGCGCTGTCTGTGTACAAATGGAGGAGATCACACTCCCCATTATCTACCTCCTGGCGAGTGTTTGATTTGTGACATCAAAAGCTTATCAAGGCAAGCTCAAAAAAAAAAAAAAAAAAAAAAAAAAAAAAAAAAAAAGCACCTCTTGATGGGCTCCGGTTTGGGTTATCTTGGGGGAAAAGAGGAGAGGGGGGGGCCCGGTGCTGTCAGGCGATGGGGACCGCTTCCCCCTTCCAGCCGCGGCACTCCGCGGGCGCACACGGCAGCGCGGGGGGGGTGAGGGGGGGGAACGGGAGGGTGGCCCCGCCGCGCTGTGCCTGGGGCTGCGGGGAGACCCTGATTCCTCGCAGTCATCCGCACACAAGTGGCTTGATATAATCACCATGACAACTGCCGTCTATAAGCATACAAATAATAGAGATGAAATAGACAAAAGATTAGCATGCCAAGAAAAGTACAATAAGTTTCTTATTTAGCATTTAGATAACTGTCTTTCCTTCGGAGCAGGCTTCAAAGTTGAACCCAGTTTAGACCAAGAGGATTAATTCTTTCTCCCGCATGCTTCATTGAATCTCTCATTACCAAACTTTGTCTGTATTGATGTAAGATTTGATTGAAGATTAGAGCATTTAGCAAATCTTGCTTTTCTGCATGTATCAGGCCTTTTCAAGCGCAGCCCGCGCTGCCCAGTGGTCAATACCCTTACTTTTATCCAGTGTCTGCTTCATTTAAACTTAATCAACTCCCTCAATGAACTGGAACAGGGAAACGTCCCTGCGGTAAGAATGTTGTGCTTTTCTTAGATAATTATTTGCTCCCCTTCCCAATCCGCTGGCGTTAAACCCAAAATTGCTCTCTGATGAACTTAATCAATATGATAATGACCACTGGGGCTGAATGGCTTTGCCTGGGCTCAGCATGGAAAAGGTAGATGGCTGTGCCCATTACCCAAACCCAACTTCTCCTTGTCTCGCCTTTCCTTTTGTGTACGCTGCTCCCACCTTTCTTTCTCCCTCCCTTCCTTCCCTTGCCCCCCTTTCTTTCTCTTCTTGCCTGCCTCCCCCACCCCCACCGCGACACCGAGCGCTGCCAGGCTGTAGAATGATGCATCTCTGTGCGGGAGGAGGACTCGTATGTCACCGCCAGGAGAAGTGGAGCAGACCGATTGGCTGGGTGAATTATCTGGCTTGTTGCGGTGAATTATTTGCGCTGTTCCCTTTACCAGTCAACAAGTTTCTGAGGTATAGCGCAGATCAATCAAAGCTGACAGAGCGCATGTGAAGCTTTTACTGTGTAAATCTGGACCTCTTGTCCTGCCTTCGTTGGCACTGGCATCTGTATATCATTTTTATACTGCTACCAGTAGAGCAATTTCAAAAGTATTTGCAAGGAAAATGGATGTCCCCATCTGTTCCTGGAATCATAAATGTGCCACTTTCGGAGGGTTTTCACTGGTAATCATATCTTTAATGATGAACAAACTTGTGATATATACCTTTCCATAAAATGGGGTTTTCTTCACTTTATTGTGATTGGCTAGGATAAATAGCTTTTCCATATGTTAGGGAGATAAAACATAAGATTACCAGGGCTCGTTTGTTTGATCGTAAACAAAAGAAACAATTCACTCCAAACACTCCTTAAACAGGAACAACTGCAGAATTAAATTGTATTAATAGGCTATCGATGGGTCAGGAGGTAAACAACCATCCCCGTGGAAAAGACAGCTCTTTGAAAATAAGAATAGACGGGCTCCCTCGCTGCTCGGGTGACCTTACTGCAGATGCAGATGTTATATATTCTATGTTCGGTTTTAATTTTAACAAACATTCTGTCTTTGTCTCTCTGGTCTCCAGCCTGACTTTGAATTTCCGTGCCCGCACCGGCGCGCAGGCGGTGCCGTGCAGTGGGCTGCCCGCTGCTATATTTAGAAAGCAGCTCGAAGAGAAAACGTCCTTAGGAATCCGGACTGGTTTGTTGTAAATATCCCTCAAGTGCCGGCACTGTAAAAGTAAACGCTCGCTCCTCGGGAGTGCCGACGCTCGGCACTGGCTGGGAGCGGGGGGCCAAGGCGGTGATGTTAATTTTGCTGCTTTCCCCGGCTCGGGCAGCGCTGGAGCTGTCACAGGGAAATCAGAGGAGCCAGCAACGTCCCTACCGTCGGACAGGTGCTGTCCCCGGAGATCTGCCCGCAAAGCCGGCCCGAAAGCCGGCCCCAGGCGGGGGGCTCACGCACCGGAGGAGGGTGGGGACTGGCAGGGGCTCCTCGGGGCGGCCGGGGGACTGTCCCCAAAGGCCCCGGGAGCCGCTCCGTCGCCTGCCCGACCCCCGGCGTTATGGGTCCGTGGCGTTTCCTGCTGAAGCCCCCCGGTTCACGCGGGGCAGGTGCCTGCAGGCAGGGTCCCAGTCTGGGGGCGTTCAGGCGGCAATTTTGCTCCTGCCCCAGCTGGTTTGTTGTGGCAGGTAACCGCCGTTTGGGAGATGAGCCTGATTTTCGTGACAATTTCTCCTTGCTTAAATCACTCGGGATTGCTAGGCGCGGATTTTGGAGCCTCCAAGCCCTGCTG